TCACATTTGCTTTTGTTAACACTATTGGTTAGTATTAGCATAGGTTTTATGCTATTTTCAAACGCAATAGAACATTAACGTTTTAGTGACACTAGTGCTGGGTGGTTTGACCAAAAATCTGTAAAACATTTTTTTTAGGATTCTGATGGTTTCATGGTTTATCACAGGTTTTTGATGTAAATTAGATTGAATAATTTTCCAATCTGAAGACAAAAAACAGAACGGTCTGACCTTGGCTTTGTGAAATTATGCTACATAAAACATACAAACGAAACAAACAGCAGACGAGTTGAATGAGACGCAGATTCACTCTCTGACAGCAGGTGGCGCTTCTGGAACAACAGCGATACAGCGTTTCCTTGGTTACCGCTGTAAACAAAGCAGCTGCTGTGGTTTTAAATACTACATTAATATGCATTATATATGGAGGTAAGATGAAAAGAAAATACCATCGGAACTTTCCTGAAGACAGTCAGTTCCCCTCAGAGATACATTCATATAAACCCCCAATTCAGTATTTAGGATTTTCTTCCAATATTCCATGCATGTTGAAGTGAGTTTGCTGCGCCTGCTACACTATTTTCTCCTCTTTGCGTTCGTCTTCAGCACCTAAAGAATTAGTTGTGTGTTATTAATAGTTCTAAAAGTTCTCTAACTATGCAGTTAACAGGGATCCCCTCTCAATTCACGAAGCTGTCCATGTTGCTTAGCCACTTGTACCGGTATGCTGTTTTATTAACATGTATACCGTGTGGGTATATCGCCCAGCACTAAGTGACACTCATCAGACTTTACATTTTTCAAACTGCTGCGATGCATACAGTACAGTGACCCATAATAAAACGTTAGAAGATTCACTTTTATCTGTTTTGGATAAAACCAAACATTGAAAGTGTCGCAAAACTTGCAAGAATCAACATATCATTTTGTAGAAATGTTGCACTGGCACATTTTTCTAATGACCCTAGATTTAAAAATACACACCATATGTAAACATCCGGTGAACTCATTTTTATTGATGTTTCAATATTGACTAAATTATATTTTACTATCAACTTTTCTGTTGCCTTGTCCACCATCGTGGATTTATTTTTACTTCACTTGACTCTTGGAACACAGCAACATTAGTCATGCTTCTTTTTTTGTGCTACAAAACAGTCTCATGAGTTTCCTTATGACCATTTTCTTCCCATTTTCCAACTCTTAGGATTAAATTGGACATGTTTTGGCATTGCATCATTGACATGTAAATGTGGTGGTATAACAGACCACAGAGAGTCTGTTGCTTCACCAGATGATTGACATTTTAGTGTAATAAGATGCATATGAAAATAGACTGGGTAAATGTTGATAGGGTGTGTTTTTTATTATTATAATTTTTTTAGAATGAAAGTCAAGTAAATTTTGATTTCTCATCATATGACCCCTTGTGCATCTAGTGCTGTTCAGTGATCTCCACTGTAATGCATCTCTATCAGATCAGCTGCCGCAGCTACTGCAGATGATGAGCCCTCAGCGCTGTGAACACTGTGAGACCATTAAAGGACCCCCGGGACCCCCTGGATCTCCAGGACCTAAAGGGTCCAGCGGGCACCAGGGCTATCCCGGCAGACATGGCACTCAGGGCTACCCAGGACCTCCGGGCATCCAAGGACCTCCAGGAGTCAAAGGTAACAGATGCGTCTGGCTGTAACACTTCCAGATTATGTAAATGGATTTGGCTTTGGGTTTGTATTTTAATTGCATAACATGTTTGGCACTCTTTTAGGGGACACAGGCCCACGGGGGTTTAAGGGCAATAAAGGGGAGAGCAGACCAGGATACCCAGGGCCTCCTGGAGACACAGGTACAATGACATTACTACATTTTTAACCCTCACAACGCATTCAGGTCCATTTCTACCCAGAAGAAAAAATATGTCGTTTTTAGTAAGGGAATTAAACGTTGCAAAATGCTTTAAGACCCTCAAAATTCACATAATTCATTCATTTGTCAGATTTTTTACAATTATTTTTAAAGAGGTATTACCATTTAAACAAAAAAAAGTTACATTTTGTGTTCGGGTCATTTTGGACCTGTGTCAAAAATACTTTTCACAAAATTATTTATAAAGTTATGTTAGTGTCCAAAAAAAAAAAAAAAAGTATAAAATATATTTTGCATTTTCCCCATATCTCACACACTATTGGGACTGAATTAGGTTGATAAGCATGAATATGTACCCCTATTGACCAACCATTGCAGCATTCATCTGAAAGTAAAGGTTTATGGAAGGAAAATTATTTATTTTGCTTGAAAACTTTTCGGAGTAATATTTATGTTGTTTTGTTAGAAATACATATGTAGGTTTTATAAATTTGAACTGTTTTTGAGCAACCAAGAGATATTAATTCAAAGGAATACACACACACACACACACACACACACACAGACACACACACACACACACACACACACAGGAGATCAAAATTAGAGAACAATCTACAAATTTCTGAAATATTGTTATTCTTCATCGCTCAAAATTTGAAGGAATATTAGCTGTAGGTAAACAACTGTTCCACAAACATGTTTGACTAAATAACAAGGTATTTCAACAAAAAACATTATTTTGTGGAAAACACAGTGATCAAACTTAGAGAACAGCAACCACTGACACACAAAAGAAGATTACAACTAACATTTTAAATGCAGTAATTACACGGTAATAACATGGTCACATTCAAAATGTTTGGACATTCACTCATAAATTAGAAGCTACAATATCAGAAACTAGATCACGTACACTATGCTTCAGATGAAAAATTTCACATTATGACTTTTATAAAAGTCTTTGGGTCCAAACAGACCCAACATGCGAAAATAGTATATAGATATTGAATGCATTATGAGGGTTAATGTAATAATGTCTGATTCATCATGTGACAGAAGTATATGGCACACATACGCAGTGCTTGGGAAGGAATCTTGTGTAACTGTCAGATTGTGTGTTCCCTCAACACCAACAGGGATCCAGGGTCCTCGCGGCAGTGATGGCATTGGTATTCCGGGTCCTCCGGGAATCCCGGGTAAATCCGGGGCTCCAGGCATCCCGGGGAAGCAAGGTCCTCCAGGGCCGGCTGGCGTGTGCGACATGTCCATCTGCTACCAATCCTATGACCCCAGGGATGAGCGCTACAGCAAAGGGCCCGATTTCTAACACACGTGCTTGAGCGAACACATGGGCTCAGCTCTCGGACTGCAAGAAGCGCCGCAGAGAATCCAGAGGAATTTACTGACATGGCTTTAGACATTGTCTGTGCATTGCTACGGTGCAATGAAACATCAGGGGCCTGTAGATGAACGACGGCCATTAGAGTGAAATTTAAAGACATGAAACCTGCCTTTTGATGCACAAAGAGTTGGTGCGTAAACACCATTTACACAATAGTACGTACATAAGGTAATTTGCAAAACAATGCTGCAAGTATATTAATGTGGATAGATGTCAATGTCATAAACATAATTAATATTCATAAGTAATGACGATAAATATTAATAAGGCAAACGGCTATTTTGTTGCCAAACAAGGAACTTTTTGCAACAAGATATGACATGCAATAATAAAAGCATTAGCTCGTTTGTGGTTTGGTACTAATGAAGATTAAGAATAAGTGGCTTTATTACATCAGAGACAGATATTAAAAATAAAGGGGATAAGCTTCGTGTTTATGTTTGCGTTTGGCAAAAATATGCTTTTAATCTTGATTTCAACAATACTTGACTTTTTAAGACACAACAGCCATCATATTTTCATATTTAATTGAATTACTAACTGCTTTAAATTGTTGGCTAGGTTGATTTAATAAATAGCAATTGTTGTTTTATATTATTTACATATGTGTGTACTTTTTTATTCTTTGCACTGCCTGAAGGGAAGGTAAATTCACACTAACTACACTGAATATTAAATAAAAGGAACACAAACCATTATAAACAAAACTATTCAATTCTGTGTGTGTTCAGGAACTCATAAGGGATTTACTTCAACTCTTTTGGCAGTAAAGCATTTAAGCTGTGTAAGGTATGAGATACACATTTGACAGATGTAATTATTTTAAATATTGTTTTTGTGAGTCCATACAAAGTGCTCGTTACATAAATATTTTCTTCCAGTGAAATCTTGAATAAACTGATATCTCAGTTTTCTCTTCTATAATCTTTTTCTCTCTAACATTCAATTCTAATCTGTTGTTTTATTCACTCAATGTATTTTAATTCAAAATAACTTGAAACTGTAACTTTTTAACGTCAGAACTTAGTGATGCGATCTCATTGAACTTTACATTTTTAAATGATGCAAATCTAATTTGCCTAGAATGACTTTGTTCAAATAAAAGGTAATGGACACTTTGTGATTGGTCTGTGGTTTCTTGACAGTGATGACGCATGTGGTCAAGGTTTCAAACGCACGTCGAGTCTTGAGAAAATTCTGACGTCACATAAAAAGGAAGTAGATGAGGATTTCAAGATATGATTCAGATTTGTGCAGCTGTAGACAGACACACATGCACACATGCACACAAACTCCTGCAGTTTCTATTAATGAACCGGCCAGACGAGCTGTGAACAGCGCTTTGGGGTAAGTCTACAATCTCTACTGACTTATTTATCCAGCCTTTCATTTTAATAAGCTCCTTCAATCCTGCAGGTTGTTGGTAGCCACCATGATGGAAACGCTTAACACAACGCCAGACGTTTATGAAGACTATTCGCTGATGACCGGCAGAACCGTTCAGTGTAACACCATCACCATCAACAACTTCTGCCAACATTTTCTTCCACCCTTCTACTACGTCATCTTCATCGCCAGCGTACTGGGCAACGGAGTGGTTCTGCTCGTCCTCTACAAGTTCGAAAAGCTCAACACGGTCACAAATATATTCCTCATGAACCTGGTGGCCTCCAACCTCATCGTCACCCTCACACTCCCGTTTCAAGCGGTTCATCATTCGGACCAGTGGACCTTCGGAGAAGCTCTGTGTAAGCTGGTGACCAGCGCAGACTATCTGGGCTTCTACAGCTCCATCCTCTTCCTCACCCTCATGACGTTCGACCGCTATCTGGCCGTGGTGCATTGTGTGTTCGCCAACAAACGACGCAGAAGTTGCTACGCTGTCGTGCTGTCTGCAGTCGTCTGGATCATTAGCCTCCTCGCCAGCCTCGAACCCTTCATCCATTTCACCGTTGAAGAGTACCCGATGGAAGGACTGGTGTGTGAAGACTCCAGCGATGCTCAGTGGAGAGTCTTCAGTCTCTATAAGCAGCTTGTGTTGTTTTTTATCCTGCCGCTGACTGTATTCATCTACTGCTACTTCAGGATAACGCTGACCGTCCTGGCCATGCGGATGGTAGGCAAACATCGCACCGTGTGGCTCATTTTCATCATCGTCCTGATGTTTTTCGCATTCTGGAGCCCGTATAACATCATACTGATGATAAACGATAATCAAGATCCTAAACAGTGTAATAGCAGCCTTCTGTACGCACAGTACGTCACCAGTAACATCGCTCGCTTGTATTTCTGCATTAACCCTGTGTTTTACACCTTTCTGGGAAGGAAGTTTCAGAATCATGTGCGAGGCGTGTTAGTGAATCAGGTTCCATGTTTATCAGACCGGATCAGTGTCAGCGCAAGTAGCAGAACATTAGCTAAAGACTGAATGATTACAGTGAAGCGTTGTGCTTTCATTAACATTCACACTTTTATTCTACATGTCTTTATAGAAAAAAAGTGCAATGAACTAGCAAATGATTTGTTGATGAACTTGGTTGATGTATATACACAGTATAATAAACTGGTGTGATTTCAGAGAGATTTGTGTTTCTCACTGATTTGTTTGCATGTGTGTTTATGTGATTCAGGGTTATTATTATAGTTAACTAAAACTAACACTAAAATAAATAAAACTGTAATTAAAATTAATAAAATGTAAAAAAAAAAAAAACAAACAAAAAAAAATTACTAAAACTTTAAAATGAAAATGAAAATTAAACATTAATAAAAAACTATATTATATAGTATCTCAGTGATATTAACCACTGGTGTGATTCATAAAGAAGTAATTTGAACAGTATTAAAATTTGTATGTATTAAGTAAATAAAAAAAATATTGAAGCAATATATCAACATTATAAAATGCATTAAACATTACATTACACCAGGTTTTCCCAAACCGGCCTTAATATAAGAACTGGAGTGGATTTGTGAGTTGATAAAAAGCTATTAATTAAATCATACAAATGTAACAAAAATAATGTAAACAGTCAAACGCTAAAAAAATAATTTGTTTACCTGCATGTCAATGTGGCCATTAACCAAACAACTTCCTCAGAGATATTTCAAGTAAATATTTTATTTTAAGGGGTTTGGTTGACACAAATGTTTGGGAATCCCTGCCTTATATAAACAAACATTAATAAACATGAAAATAACATTGTCATTACACGCCCAAAGTCTTACAGGTTTTAAATATTTTTGTCCAGACTGGATATGATGACGACACAGTATTTCACATCTATACTGTTCTTCACCAGTGTTTACAGTCTAACGTGCATAATTATTTCTTTCATACATGTGCTTTTTTCTGTATCACTGAGATACTATTTATTATTGAATCATTTTATTTATATACTTTCTGTTTTCATTTTAATTTGTTAAAGTTTTACCATTTTAGTTGCCATTTTTAATAGTTTTTTTTTTTTTTTCAAATGTGTTTATCTAGTTTTCTATTTATTTATTTCTTAGTTTAGTACGTCAAGTTCAATAAAATCAACACAAATAAAACCAAGAAATGTTCCCTTGGCAAGTAGATGAAAAAAAAAGTTTATATATATATATATATATACAAATATATATATATATTTCAATGTGTTTCCACTAAAATAGGCCCATAAAAGTATGACCAGTGGCTCAGTTTGCCCTAAAAATCAAACTGTTGACAGTGAGGCTGTCAGTCTCTCTGGTAAATAAATACTGAGCTGCTTCCTCTCTTCATTTCTCCCAGCTTTGTCAGCTGTCTTCTTCAGCACATCCCAAACACACACACACACACTCTCACACACACACACACACACACACACTATTTTACTTTTTTATCTGTATTATAAAATATCTGTATTATTTTTTATATATCCCATCTGTATTATTTTCTCATGTCAAAACCAACATTTAAATAACTATTTCCGGTTTGTATTAAAACCACCAAAATGTACAGATTAATTTTATGGCAGGTGTTAAACGAAAAGCAGTGTAAATACGACCAGAACTAAGTTCTAGCACATGCCTCATCCAGCCGCTCTTGTAATGCAGTCGCTGTGCAGAAGCAATAATGTGATTAGTGCTGGACTCCTGAGGGGCCTCCCACCAACAGAGCTGCACTGTGTGATTGCATAAGGGCCCCGAGGAGCTTTCGCCTGTTTGTCCAGATCCTCCCCACTTAGTGGGAGAGCGACAGCATGCTGGGAACGCAGTGGAAAGCAGAAGACTGGGTGAGTCACTGGTCAGAATAGTGAAGTCTGGGTTAATGACACATAGTCATGTTCTGTATGAGGAGTCTTCGCTGGGAATCTGGCTCAGTTTGCCCTAAAAATCAAACTGTTGACAGTGAGGCTGTCAGTCTCTCTGGTAAATAAATACTGAGCTGCTTCCTCTCTTCATTTCTCCCAGCTTTGTCAGCTGTCTTCTTCAGCACATCCCAAACATGCTGCAATGTTTGCTTTGAAACCCAAGCTCTCTATGCCTTCCTCCTCCAGATTCCTCAAAGAAATCTGGCCCGACCGCCCTCAGGTTTTCACACAGTTCACTAAAACCAAGACACAGAAATGTCTGGACCATTTCCCTTTTTCCCTTTTCTTCAGAGATTGCATCCTCCTCGTAGAGTTTTGCAATAGGATACATTGCCAATGTGTATGATAAAATATTTTGATCGGAGTACATTTGCTTTGACAAAAAATTTGTTACACTGACCATGTTGAAAATCTACTTTTACAGGCAAACAAACAAACAAATAAATAAAGTTAAATAAATAAAAATCAAACCAAATCAAATAAATACAATTTAATAAATAAATACAAATAAAATATAAATAAATAATAAATTGTAATTAAATCAAATCAAATAAATACAATTAAATAAATAAACAAACTGTAATAATTAAATACATAAATATGTGTTTGGGGG